CCCCACAAACCACCCAACCCCCACACCACCCACAACCCACACCCCACCCCCCCCCCCACTCAACAACAACCCCCCCACAACACCCCCACAACCCACACCCCCCCCCCCCCCCACCCCTCTCCCCCAAACCCACCCAAACACCCCCCACCCACCCACCCCCACCCCCCCCCCCACACCAAAACACCCCCCCCCCCCCACAAACATCCAACACCCCCCCCCACACCACACCCCCCACAACCCCCCACCCCCCCCCAACCCCCCCCCCCCCCCCCCCCCCCCAACCCCCCAAAAAACAACACACCCAAACCCACCACCCCCCCCCCCCACCACCCCCCCCCCCCCCCACACCCCCACACCCCCCCCCCCCCCCCCCCCCACCACCCCCACACCCACCCCACCCCACCACCCCCCACCACCCCCACCCACAACCCACCCACCCCCCCCCCCAACACCCCTCCCCCCAACCCACACACAACCCCCACCCCCCCCCCCCCCCAAACCACACAACAAAACAAACACAACCACCCTACACCAACCCCACCCCCCCCCCCCCCCCCCCCCCCCCCCCCCCCCACACCCCCCCCACAAAAAAACAACCACCAACACCCCACAACCCCACAACCAAAACCCACACCCCCCCCACCACCCCCACCCCCCTCACCAAAACAACACAACCCCCCCCCCACCACACCCCCACCCCACCCCCCCAACCCACACCCCCCCACCCCCCCCCCCCAACCCACCCCACCCCCCCCCCACCCCCCCCACCCCCCACAAACCCCCCCACACCCCCCCCCACACCCCCCACCCCCACCCCCCCCCCCCCACCCCCCCCACCCCCCCACACCCCCACCACAACCCCCCCCCCCCCCCCAACCCCCCCTCCCCCAACCACCCCACCCCCCCCCCCCCCCCACCACCCCCCAACCCCCCCCAAACCCCCCCCCCCACAACCACCCCAAACCACCCCCCATCCCCCCCCCCCCCCCAAAACCCCCCCAAACCCCCCTACACCCCAACAACCCCCCCCCCCCCACCACCCCCCCAACCATAACCCCCCAACCCCCCCCCCCCCCACCACCACCACCCACCCCCCCAACCCCCAACCCCCCCCCACCACCCCCCAACCCCCCCCCACACCCCCCCCCCCCCCCCCACCACCCCCCAACCCCCCCACCCCCCCCCCCCCCCCCCCCCCCCCCACACCCCCCCCAAACCCCCAAACCCCCCCCCCCCACCACCCCCCCAACCCACAAACCCCCCCCCCCCCCACCCACCCCCCACCATACCCCCAAAACAACCCCCCCCCCACCACACCCAAAATCCCCCCCCACCCAATACCCACAACACACACCCCCCCAACCCCCCCCCCCCCCACCCCACACCCCCCCCCCCAACCCCCCTTCCCCCACACAACCTAACTCCCCCCCCCCCCAAACCCCCCCCCCCATACCCCCCCCCACCAACTAACTCCCCCCAACCCCCCTACCCCCAATACCCCACCCACCTCAACCCCCCCCCACCACCCAATAACACCCCTACCCCCCCCACAACAAACCCCCCCCTATAACCACCCCCCCTCCCCCCCCCCACCCACACCCACACCACATATAACACCCCATAACCCCCCCCCCCCCACCAACCCCCCCATACACCACCCCCCACCCCCCACCCCCCACACCCCCCCCCCAAAACCCCCCCCCCTACCCCCCCCCCCCCCCAATCCCCCCAAAAACACCTACCCCCCCCCCCCCCCCCACACCTACTCCATACACCATTAAACCCATTCCCCCACCCACACCCACCACACCCCACTTACAACCCTAATCCCCCACCCCCCCCCACCTCATCCCCCACCCCAATACCCCACCCCCATCCCCCCCCCCCCAACCTAATCCCAACACACACCATAAAACCCATTCCCCACCCCACCCACCCCCGCACTAAACCCCCACTCATATACCCATTAAACCCCAATATCACACCCCCCCCCAACCCTATACCTCCCAAACCATTCACAACACTCATTCCCCCACCCCTCTATAAACCTATCTTATCCACTGTTATGCGTTAACACCAAGATCCTACTCCTCCCCCCCCCACCCCCCCCCCTAATCCCCCCCCAAATACATTAAAAACCCATTATCCCCCCCCCCCACAACCTATTCCAAACACCATTAAAACCCCATTCCCACCCCCCCCACACCTAATCCCCAAACACCATTAAAACCCATAAACCCCCCCACAACCAAAACAACAGCATTATAGTAAAACCCCATTCCCCCCCCCCCCCAACTAATCCCAAACACAATACAACCATCCCCCCCCCCCAACCTAATCACACACCCTCTGATATCCCTACAACACACATCCCTATCCCCCCCCCCCCAACCTAATCCCACAACCATTAAGCCCCATTCCCCTCCTCCTATTTCCCCCCACCACACCCCAACCTAAACCCCAATAAAAACCATTAAAAACCCCTTTCCCCCCACCCACAACTTAAATTCCATGTACCATAACCCCATTGCCCTTGACAATCTCCCACCCATCAATAAACCAACCCCCCCCCAATCCCCCATATCCTATACAATCCCCATCATCTAACTCAACTCATCTCTATAATCCTACAATACCCCCAACCAAATCCCCAATCCCCCATCCATTCCACCCCCAATCCCCCCATAATCCACCTAATCCCATAATCCACCAATCCCCCAATAAAAAAACACAAACTCCGCATACATCCCTCTGTCATATCCCTACACACCCACCCCCCATCCTAATTTTGTGTCTATAATCCAACCAGTAAACCCACCCATCTGACAAGAATCCTCCAAACCCCCCCCCCCCCACCCCCCCCCCCATCCTCAAAAAACTATATTAGCCGCGAAAAAAAAATTCCCAATCGCTGTCAACTCTTTTCCCCCTACTTCCCCCCCCCCCTTCTCCTTTTGTGTCTTCCCCATCCAACCCAATCCAATATCCTACCCCCCCCTAACCCCACACACTCCCCACGAACCAACCCCCATAAAACCTAAATATACCACCCAATATTGTCGCCCAATAACTCGTGTCCTCCCATCATTATCCTACCACTCCCAGATCCTACCGCAATACCACCACCCCCCCCCCATACCCACCAAATCACTACATATTGCCAAACTCATGACCGCCTCACCCTCACCTCCCCATCCGTTCCCTCACTCCTCTCCATTATACCCCCCCCCCCCCCCTACTCATTTAAATCCATCTTCTTAACCCACCCCTACCCCAACCCCCATCCCCTCTAATTCCCTACTCTAACCCCCCACCCCATAATCTCATCCCCTCTCACCCCACCACCCCAATTGTCCCCCCACATTATCATCTATAAAATCCACCCTCCCCCCACTCCCCACTACCCCCCACATTCCATATTAATCACTAACTATTTAAACCCCCACAAAAACATCCATCATTAACTTAACAGAAACATACCCTACCACCACTTAATCCTCCCGCCCGTCTACCACCCCCCTCCCACCTCCAATTCCCCAAATTCACTAAAAACCTTCACCCCCTCATTACTCACCACCTCCCCCAACACATATTAAACACACCTCTCTAAAATCCAAATCCCCCCCCCCCCCCTCCATAACACTCCCCCCTCCAACACCAATAACCCCAATACTCTCCCCACCCCCCCCACCCCAACATCATAAAAAACCATCTCCTACCCCAACCACCCCCTCCCTAACCCCCCCAACAATTTATTCACATCACCCCACAAACACCCACAACACCACAACCACCAACCCACACACACCCATCCCCCCCATCTTACCCTATCCCCAACCCAAACTCCCCCAAACCCCCACCCCCCCCCCCCCCTACCACCCACCAATTCCACCCAAACCCACCCTCCCCCCAATCACCCCCCCCCCCCCCCCCACCCCATCTCCCCCCCCCACATACTTCCCCCCCCCCACCCCTCATCCCCACCCTCCCCCTCCCCCACATCTACCCCCCACACCCATACTTAATCCCCCCACCCCCCACTCCCATCCTAACCCCCAAATTTATCCCATATTCATAAAATTAAACAAAATATTATCTTCATCCTCCCCTCTTCCCCCCTCATTCTTTTTCTTTTTTCATTATTTTAGTTTTCTTCTAATCCAAATCCCTCCCAAAACATAATTCTCCCCTTTAACCCACCCCCCCCCACACCCCCCCAACAACCCACATCATTCACCCCCAACACACAACCCCACCCCACCCCACCACCCCCCCCCCCTCCCCCCCTCTCTATCATACGCCCAGCCCCTCCCCCCCCCCCCATGAACCCACCCCCATCCCCCCCCCCCACATCCCATCCAATAACCCCCTTATCCCCCCCCCCAACCAACCCAAAACCACATCCCTACTGTCACACATCCCCCCCCCCCCCCCCCCCCCCACACTCAAAAAACAACAAATCAACCCCCCCAAAACCGCACTACATACACCCACACACATAAACCCCCCCATCCCCTAATACTAACAACCTCACTAATACCACCCCCCCTACTCTCCATCATCATTATACCCCCTCCCTACTTGATAAACATACCTCCAGTCTATCCTCCCTTTACACCATAATTCCATTCTCTCTTCCCATCTACTGAAAACCCCCCCCCCCCCCATTCCCCCCCCTCTGTTTCAATCAAATCCATCATCAAACACCCATATCATACCACCCCCAATTCACTCACACACACCCCTCCCCCCCACAAATCCGCCCTCAAAACAACCCCCCCCCACCCACTGACCCCTCTAGTCCTAACACCTCTCCGCACCCCCCCTATCATTCCCAACACTACCACAACCCACATTCACCCAACCATCCACCCCCCTCCCCCTTCATCCTTTCTTCCCTATATTCCCCGCCCCCCCATCCTGTTCCCTCCTCCATCCCCCCACCAATACCCCCCCCCCCCCCTCTTTCTTGTAAAGAACACCCACACACCCACCCCCTTATCCCCCCCCCCCCATCCCCCCCCACCCCCCCCCCCCCCCTTCCCACCCCCCCCCACCTCCCCCTAAGATCGAGCCCATCCCAACTCACCAAAACACCACCCACACACACACTCCCACCCCTCCCCCCCCCCCACCCCACCCTCTCCCAACACACCGTCCCCCAACACAGCCATACCACACACAACTCCTCCACCCCCTCTACCCATTACACCAACATACCATACTATTCTACCCCCCACCCCTACAATATACCACCCACACCACCCCCCACTACCCCCACCCCCCACCTACTATCCTCCCCCCTAGTGTTGTGTAAAACATTCCATACACAACCAACCCACCACCTCCCTATAGAGTACAACCCCAGATCCCAACCCAATCCCTGCCGCCACAACACTACCCCCCCCCACCTATCCCCACTCTAAACCCACTCACCCCCTTACCCCACACATTCCTCATCCAATAACCTACTCCCCGTCCCCCCCCCCCCACATATCCCCAATAACCCTTTCTCCCCCCTCCCCCCACCTCCCCCTATCCGTTTCCCCTCTGAGTCCCCCTCCAACCCGCCTCGCCCCCCCTACTTGTCTTTTCCCTCAACTTATTCCCCCCCATCCCCAAAATTCGTAACCCTACCCACCTAAAGACCCCTCCTTCCTGTCTACTGCAACTTTATCTCCCCCCCATTATTCCACCCCCCTCACCCATCCCCTACTCCTCTCTAATCCCCCTATCCACCCCACCAACCCCCTCTTTCCCCACATATAACCCCTTCTCATACCCCCCCCTCCCCCTTATCCTATAATACCGCTATAACCCCTCCTCCCGACTCCTCCCCCCCCCACACCCCCTTTCTTCTCCAACCTCCCCTCATACTACCCCCCCTAACAACCATGTAATCACTACACCCAGACCCCCCAACCCCCCTAACTACACCCGCCAACACCCACCCCCCATCCACATCCCCCCCCACACAACAAACACACCCATCCCACACCACCAACACACCCCCAACCAACTACCCCCAACAACTCCACCCCTAAAACTCACCCCCCCCCATCCACCCCCCCCACCCCCCCCAACCACCCCCCCCCCTACCCCACCATGTATATCACATAATATCATTCCAATCCACTCCCCCCCCCCACCCCCTCCTCCCCCCTAACCCCCACCCAAACCCACTATCCCACCACCCCCATACCTTTACCCATAAAACTTACCCTCCCCCCTCCCCCCATACCCCCTCAACAAACCATTCCCACCCCCATAAGCCCAGAACTAAGAAATCCCCCCACAACACTCACATGACAGTACCCCCCACTCTGTCACCTCCCAAACACCAATCACCAACTTCCCCAATCCACAACCCCACACACCAAAAATCCAAATCCCGTGATCTGCCCACACCCCCCCCCCCACCACACAAACCTTCATAAACCACCCCACCCCCTACCACCACAATTTAACTCACCCACCTCCTCTAATTTCAACTCCAAACAAAAAACCCCCCCACAACTACCCCCTCAGCCCCAATCTCCCCCCCCCTTCCCCCCCTTTACAACCCCAAATCAAATCCCCAATCACTCCTCCAAACCCCCCCCCCCCCACCACCCCCCACCCACCCCCCCAACCATCTTCCCCCCCCCCCCCCCCCCCCCCCCCACCCCCCCCCCTTTTTTCCCCTATCAAATCCAAAAATTATCCCCCTTTACTCAATATCACCCCCCTCCTATACTCAACCACCACCCCCACCCCACCAAACCCCTCCCACAAACCATATACCATCACCAACATAACATAACCCCCCCCCCCCCCACTCCCCCCCTATATTCCCCCCCCACCATACCCCTACCCCCAATCTTATTTTATCGACCCTCACTCCTTCACCCCCAATTAAAACCACAACCGCCCATCTATCTCCCTACCTATCTCCTTCCCACCCACACCCAGCATCTTTCTCCCTCACTCATTCCTACCCCCCCCCCCCTTTTATCCAATCTTCCAACTCCAATACCCCTAATTTTAATATACCCAATATCTATCCCCCCCCCCCTACACTTCACATCAACCCTCATCTAACCAATCCCCCCCCTACCCCCCCCCTATCCCCCCCCCCCCCCCCCCTACCCCCCCTCCCATCCCCCCATCCCCCACACCCCCCCTACCAGCCACCCCCCCCGATAAACCCCCACTCCCCCCCTTACACACACACCAACAAAAAAATTCCCCCCCCCTTCTCCTCACTAAACCCCCACAACAACAAACTCCCTCCTTAAACCTACCCCATCCCCATTATAAACAATATCCTCACCCATAACCCTAATCAAACCCCCCCCCCATAAGATCGCCGCCCCCCCTACCCAAACCCCCCCCCACCCCCCCCCACCCCCCCCCCCCCCCCCCCCTTTTAACCTCCCGCCTAACAACCCCACACTCTCAAACCACTGACCGACCCCTGTAGATCAACCCCACACAAGTCCGCCCCCCCCCCCCCCCCAACCCCACACACCCCAAAAATCCACCAACCCCCCCCCACACCCCCCTATACCCCCCCCCCACCCAACCCACATTTTCCACATATTCTTATATCCATCTCCACTGTTCCCTCACTATAATTCCTCCCCCACAACAACCCCCACCCACACCAAAACCCACCCCCCATTCCTCCCCCAAACCCCCCCCTACACCCCCATCCCCCCCCCCCCATTAACCATACACACCCCTACCCCCCCACATCCACCCCCCCACCAAAATCCCCCCCCCTATCCCCCGCAGCCTCCCCATACCTTCCCCCACCATCACTCCCCCAATAAAATAATATCTGTGTCCCGAGTGCCATCACCCCCTCCAGAGAATATCCTGGAACACCCCCCCCTACCACAAGACCACCTACCACAACCCCCCCCCACCTGAAATAAAAAAACACCTATCCCCCCCAGCATACACCACCGTCTACATGTCCACCCATCTACTTCCCCCCATTCTCACCCCCCCCACTCTACCACCCCCACCCCCCATCACCCCCCCTATTCCTTTACCACGCATCTATCCCCCATTCCGACCTCACTCCCATCAAGTCCCAATCCCCATCCCCCCCCACCCCCATACCCCACCTCCCCCCTTTACTATCCCCCACCCCATTCCTTCCCTGCTTTCACCCACTACCCCCCTCCATCACACATCAACCCGAAACCTCATCCCCCCCGTCACACCTCTCCTACCCCTTTCAACCCAAATTTCGTTACCTTTCCACCCCCCCCCCCCATCACCCCCCATTCCCAACCCCACGCCAGCCACTAATCAGAGAAAACTCCTCTCCAACAAACCCCCGCATAACTCTCACCAAAATACACCCCAGATCTCCCCCCCTTATCACCCATTTTGCCCCCAGCTATCTCCCCAAATACCATCCATACCCCCCACCCCCAATCCACCCCCCAACCCCAACCCCACCCACCCCCCCCCACACCACCCCCCCACCCCCCCCCATACCACATCCCCCCCCCCCACCAATAAACCCCACCCCCCCCCCACATACCCCCCCCCCCCCCCCCCTAAACCCATCCACCCACTCTAAAACCCACACCCCCCCCCAACACCCCACCATTCAACCCACCACTATATCATCAATATATCCCCCCCCCACAACCCCCACACACCCCCCAACAACCAACTAACATCCCACTCCCCACCCCCCATCACACCCACATCCATTCAATAAATCCCCCCTCACACCATACCAACAACACCAATTTCATCAACTTCTCCCCCAAAACCCATCCCCCCCCCCCCCCTTAATACCCTCCCCCACATCCACCCCAACCCACATAACCACATCAAATCCCCACCATCCTAAAACCCCTCTCCCTCCCTACCAACCCATTCCCCCCCACTTAATGCCACACAAATCCTCTTGTCCTATCTCCTCCCCTACCACACTACCTCCTCCCCCCACCCCATCCCCTCCCTTTATCTCACATCTATTCATCATCCCCACACATTCAGAACACTCCCCCCCCCTCTTTTCATTTCACTCCCACCCCCCCCCCTGTCCACAACCACAAATTGTCCAATTTCCCTCCTCTAACCACCCATCCCAATCAACCCCTCAATTCCTCCCTCCCCCTCTTCCCCCCCACTTACCCAACTTATCTCGTCCACAATCTAAATCCCCCCCCCACACCACTTCCAACCCCCCCATCCTCACCAATATTCAGTACTACTATATATTCCCCCTCCTTTAATCAAATTCACTTCACCAATATACCCCTTCACAAAAATCTCTCCTCCCCAATCCCTTTCCTGCCGCTCCACCCAACATCCCTCCCTTCCTCAATCTAACAAATTACCTTGTTGTTCCCCCCCCACCCTCCCCAAACCTTGCCCTTGTCCAACAATCCCCCTCCCTACATACTCCACTCAGTATTCACCCCTACTTCTCCTCCCATATCCCACCACCCCCCCCCCCATAACCCCCAACAAACAAAATTAAAACAATTCTCCCAACCCAAATACCCCCCCCCACCCACATCCCCACCTCTTCCCCCATACACCTCCCCTCCCCTCTCTTAATACACCCCGAAACTATTCCTGTGCCTCTTACAATTTTTATTTTTTTTTAACCCAGACCCCTCCCCCCCCAATATCTCCCCTCTCCCCACCCCAAATACCCCCCTCCCCCCCAACCCCCCACCCCCCCCCCCCCCCTATCCACTCCCTACAAATTAAACCATAAAAAACATTCACACCCCCCAACCCCCATCCCCCCCCAAAAACCCCCCCCCCACCCCACACCCACACATACACACTACACAGACAACTAAACGACGTCCTAAAAAAACACAATCTATACTCTATACCTATACACACCCCCCCACCCCCTCACACCCCTCCTACCCCCATACCCCCCCAGTTCTGTTCTCCCTACCCCCCCCAACCCCATACACCCCAAATCCCCACCCAACAGTCTCAACAATCAACTCTTTCCTACCACTCACATCCACCTTCTAGACCCATACTCCATTACACCCCATTCCTTTACCATCCCCTATCCCCATAATTGTCCCCCTCCTTACCTCACCTTATCATTTTTGCTCTCACATCCCTCCCCCCCCCCTTCACATACATTCCCCACCAATCCTACCTACCCCTACCCCCCACCCCCCCCCCCCCTACCCACACCCCTCTCCTTCATCTTCACCCACTCCACAATTCCCCTCCATACTACCAATCACCACATCCCCCACCAACCCCCCCCCCCCCCCCCATAATCCCCCCTTACCCCTTCCCCTCATTCCCCCCCCCCCTCCACCCTCTCCAACTCCCACATCCACCCCACCACAACCCATACAAACCACCCATTATCCTCTCCATATTTATTTCCCCCCCATCATCTCCCCTCCACTTAGTCTTCAATTTCCTCTCTCCACCCCCAGTAAATTCCCACCCCCCCCACCCAACTTCACCTCAATTACAACCAAAACTACTACCCCCCCTCCAGAAATACCTTACCTAAACCAGTGTTAAAGATGACCAGTCCCCAGTAACCCAAAACTCAAATTCTCTATCATCCCCACAATCCTTTTATACTTTCAGCCCTCCTAAACCCCGCCGCAGATCCCCTGAGATCCAGCCCCCGCGCACTTCCCCCGCCCTGCTGGTCCTCGCGTTCCTACCCCAACTCCCCCTAACCCACCCCCCGCTTCCCACCCCCCATCTCCAACCACCTTACAACACCCCCTCTTCCTCCCCCCCCCTCAACACCTAAACCCCTCCCCAAAACATAACCCCCGCATTTTTTCACTCCACCTAACCATAATATCTACCCAAATCCATCATGACCCCACCTCCCACATCCCCTCTCCCATATATCCACACATCGCAGCTCTTCCATTAATTATTCCTCATAAAAATATACCGCGACAATCCTTTTCAGCCCCTAACTTTTTTTTTTTCCCCCCCAACTAGTTTCCATCGATACGCCTTTCCCTTCCAAAACTTACCCCTCCCCCTATTCGTGCGTGACACTATGTTTATAATATCATCCTTAAAGATCTTTAGCCATACCCTCATGCTTGTTGGAAAACTTTCAAAATACTACACATAAGGTTGATTTGGGTTTGATTCTCAAAGGGCCCGTGTGGCCCTTTCCTCAGGTGAGTCCAGTTTTAACTTGAAGGGGGATTTGTGAAATGGGTGAGTAGGTCGTTCTCCTGCTTCTCCTCGGAACTAAAAACCTGAAGCCCACTCCGGGCCTTTGATTCTTGCTTTTGTTAATACTTATTCATACAACTTGCATACTACACTACTAGTACTTCGCTGGTGCCTTTAAACAGAGACTACATATCTCTCATCAGCTTGTCCCATAAAAATAATCGTTGCCAAAAGTATACTCCATAACATTCAACAGGAGCCAACACCTCAGAGGGACATGTTTGAGTTGCTTGGATCACCCCAACGTTATACTGTGTGCGTTTCTGTAAAACTCCAGTTACTCAATTTACCCCAAGTAAACAACTTCCAACTACCACTTTGCTACATTCTCTAACCAAGTTTATGCTTGGATTGATGGGGCCAAAGATAGAGAACTATAGTTTTGCACAGTGCTACTTGAGCTTTGCTTTAGTAGTTATTGAATTGATTATTTTTTGAATCTAAAAAGAAAGCATGCAGATTTTACCATTTGACTAAAAAACATGAGCTCTCCTCGTAGGTCTGTGGAGCCGGATTGATGCATTGCAGGCTCCTGGCGAGAGCTGGGCTGAGGTTTGCAGTCTGTCCAGTTGCTGAGTCGGCAGTGAGGAGGCTGTCCCAGGTCTGCTGATGAGACTGGACACACACAAGGACATCATTGTGACTCCAATTTCACAGATAAACTGATTGATATTAAAGTAGGTGATATCAGTTACTTTTTCAGACTAAAGAAAAGAATAAAACATTTGACGACCCGCCCATGGCAGCTTCAGATTGGTTCAAAACTGTTTTCAAATCCTTGAGGTCCTCGCCATTGGTTTAACCTATTCTCATATTCCAAGGTTGGGAAAACAGTTTAAATATACTTATACAAAAAATACTTTTACTTACAAGTTAATTAGTTTAGCACATTTCACACACAGAAACTCAAAGTGTTGAACAACATAAGACAGAGACAGTCACACAAGGCATTGAAATCATAAAATACTCCACAGAACATTAAAAAAGAGTAAAGATAAATCCCCCAGTTTATGCACAGCTAAAAATGCTTGTTTTTAAATGGATTTGAACTCCGTTGTCAGAGAAGAAGCCTGTCCCAAATTTTTGGGAAGGGACTGTTCCAGATTTTAGCTGCGAGAATCAGAAATGCAGGCTTACCCATGTTTTGTTCTGAACTCTGCAGGAGGCCAAAACATGCTTACAACGTAGAAACAGTGTATAAGACATTGACATTCACAAATGAAAAAATAGAACATTAAAGTCTCATTTGATTACTGTAATTCAACTTCAACTTGAACCAATGTAGAATATGGACTCATCTGACGAGCCTTTATTCATTTTGATTGATTATGGCTTATTGTCATCTTCCAAACGATTTTGTTTTAATTGTGATACTTAAAAAGAGATCCAATTATTCAACATTATAACAAATTAAAGGCTTAACAAACTTTGTGTGCTAATATTGGTTTTACATTGTAAGTTAAATGGCAGAAGTGAATAGACCATGTTAAGTTTCACCTGTAGATTATAACTGAAACCTACACTTTAGTGGTTGACCTCTCTTTAACCATTCATTCAGGAGAGTAAAAATGGGACACGATAGACTGCACATAGCTGTACGTTTCAAACTCACTATCTCCGTCTCCTGCTCGGCGCCCTCTTCTTTGGGATGACTTCGCTTGCCTCTTCTTAGGGTTGTCGCTCAGATGTTGCGTTTGTGACGGAGGACACGCTTCGATGAGCTCAGGGCAGTCCAGGTTGTCCTCGGCTCCAATGTGTTGTCCTCTCTGCAAGACAAGCACAGATGCATTACCCAATTTACACCACTACAGTCTCACACATTCATAGGTGTAATATATATTTAATACATGCGCATGTTAGCAAAATACTGTATTAATCCCAATCCCACTCTCACCCATTAAAAAGCAAAGCCACACAATACAAAACAATTAGCAAGAAAACACAATGCAGTCCACTTCGACAAAAAAACATGAGCCATACAATAGTGTATAGTCACACACAAGGCACCACACAAGTTTTGTAAAATACAATTTATCGTATTATATATACACCATGGTGAAAACGATGGCAAAATTCTGTTGCTTGATTGTATACCTATGTTTATATATTATGACGTGTATGTGTAGGGGGGGATGCAGTGCTAGGACACAACCCTGATCAAAAGTAATTTAAATCCAGGTTACAGTATGATACTGATAACAACCAGTACTCAGGTATAACTTACTCAGTTGAAGCCTTTTCCACTTGCAGAGAAAATACTTCTCTTCCATTGGAGCCGCCGTCGGCGTATTATTCTTTAACAACAAACTTCTGGATAATGATGAAACCTCAGTCTTCCTCTTTTTGGCAGTCTGCTTCTTTCACATCTTGGAAAAGACAAACACTTTAGTATATTTATGAAAACTACCCACTATATGCAGTGAGAAAAACTGCTGTATGTAGGTTGACCTTTTTTGCAAAAAAATTCATTAAAAATCTGAAAATGTGACTTTCTGGATATTCTTTTCAATCTGTCACGCTGTGGTTTACGTATGAAGGAATACAGGCTTCTTACAGAGGCCTGAGACAATTGGAGGCTTGACCCCTGGGCAAAAAGTTTACTCTAAGTGGGTAATGTATATTTTTAACATGAACTGTATCATAGATAGTCTTTTTGAAGAATTTGAGGTGACTGGATTTCTTTAGAATTTACAGTAAACTTAAGTATTACTAGACCTAAAATACATTGTATATTTTTTGTAAATGGTATGTTGTATGGTCTTGTTAGGTTGTGCAATCATTAAATCCTAAAATCCTTCTTCATTAACAAAAAACACCGGTATCAAATCTACTTACAAATAAATGTATCCCTATTATGGTAACAATAATACAGACAATAATAAATGAAAACAATAATAAAAAATAGATGTATCATTAATGAGTATATAAAACATCAAATGAACTTCATAAAATATATTTTTTACATTTTGCTTTGAAATGTACCCTACTACAAATGGTTCTGCTCCGCCACTCTTGCAGCCTCACAGGAGTGACCAAACCAAATGCTCAGAGCCTAATTTTTCCAGCACCAGATCTTGGGGTGGATGCCAGCTTTGGGAAACATTTTCAGGACAGCCACCCAAGGCCCATAGTTACTTAGATAGGCTCCAGTGGCAATTACTGCTAATGGGAACATGCAACACAAGATGCAAAGTCAGTGCACACCTCTTGATTCAAAAAGTAACTGTAAAGTAGACTGTGGAAGTTGTAATGGCAGAAACAACTGCTTATTTCCGTGATGTAGCGCTTCTACCAGAATTTGATCCATGGTTTTAATGTCCAAAAATATGCATACAAATGCAATGAAAGCAGATATCAACTTAAACAGTGGCCCATTTTAGCTGAAAGGCATGGCCCAATTTACCTGAGTCCATTTCACGTAAAATTCACCATCAAATGTCCATTTTCATGCAGCATGATAAAGCTAGACACACACAATTATGTGTTAAGGCAGGAATACCATAATTTTAGAAGCTGTACGTTCTTTTGTTCTGAAGTTACAAACATGAGTTTTAGATCAGACTTGTCTGCCAATTCACTTTTCACACCCTTCTCTCCTACATGCTATATATGAACAATTGTCCCACCCACAACATCCACTCCCCACCAATCAAATGTTTTGTATTTTGTTATGGACAGATGAGTCAACGATTTAAAGCCTTTTGCAAACACTTAGACTGAATATTTTAAGGGCCAGTGGGCTCCAACTTTAAATGGCCCATTTTACCTGATGGCTCATTTTACCTTACATCACCCCATTTGTTTGAGCATCTGATTTTCACAATGTTTAGCAAAGATGCCTGATGCCCACGATTTTGTTCTAAATTCACAGCTAGGCCTACATGCGTAAACCTATTTAGTGCGATGGGATTACAATTAGCTACATTATCAACCATACAGTAAAGATGTTGGGATTACGAACAGCAGCATTGACAGTCAACAGTGAAACTATTTCCATGAACGGTGACATGAGCTATTCCCGACCGACGTGCCCCTAGTAATGATCATTTGCACATACCAGTCATTAGTGAACACTTGTCACGGTTATGAATATGTGAAATTATTATTATTATTATTCATATTTTTATTTTACAGATCCAGTGTGACACTTGTCCACGCTGGTTCCATATTCATTGTACTGGGCTAACAGACGAGGAGCTGCAAATGGCATCTTCAGGGGGGAGATGGAATTGTGCGTTGTGCGCATAACACTCCACTGGTCTGTGGAGTTAAATAAACTATCTTTGCACATTGTTGGGTTGTTTTCAGATGATCTGTTGAATCAAAACATGTGAAATGTCTCCTCATCTCTGTAGCATGTGTCATACTGAAGGGCTTATGGCCTACAGCTGCAAAATTTACCAAGTAGGAAGTATTTGTACTACAATAATTTACCTTCCAAACACAAGGCCTAGATCAAACTCTAATCAGGACTCTAAATGTTTACTTGTATAACAAAAACAAGAGATGTGCAGACTGGTTATTAGTTTTATGACGTACTGTAGCAGTAGTTCCACTAGGCTATATTAAATAGTCATTGAAATTACAGCTGAACCAGTTTTTACCTTTCTGGCAAACCGAACAAACACTATCTTGTTCAACACACAATTGTCTTTCGGTCATATTTTTACACCTTAACCCTAGGACACCATTGCCGGGTGGTTTTCACCCGAGCAAATACATTAATGTGATTTTCATGATACAGCGTTTATCTGAGTGTCCTGGGTCTCCGGGGAGCTTCAGCATTGTCTTTGACATCTTTGGTGGCATGGATGTTTTCCTAATCCAAAACACACTTTTTATTACAGGCACATGTTGCAATAGTGATAGAAATTAGGTGAGGGTTAATGCATAAAATCAAGCAATTTTGCCCCCTTTCAAGGTTGACATTCAGGACCGCCACATTTATTTTGCCTACTTCAATACAGCGCTCCTGTCGCAGAGTTCGGTGTCTCTGGCGTCCCAGCAAGTGAGTACAAAGTTATTTTAGTCAGCTGGTCATTTTTACCCATTCAAAATGACATATTTTGTTTCACTCTCCTGCAGCTGTTTGTGTGCCAAGGTCACTGAGCCTTCACCAGGGAAGTCTCACATATCCCAGGAATGTGTGGACCAAAAACAAAGTTTCCATCTTCATTATTGTATTTGTTAGGAATTTTTGGTTCCTGAATTCCTAATTTTCCTGTAATTTTTTGCATTTTTCTATGGTCCCCTCATGATGCTTTTCTTTCATTTTATTAGACATGTCACAGTTTAATAAAGGAACACTACTCAAATGTGTCATGTATTGTCATGTTTTGACAGATTTTGATGACAGGTACTTTTCATCGGGTGTATTATCTCGGGTAAAAATCACCCCCCGTTAGTGATGGTGTTCAAGAGCTAAAAACATAAATCGCCACTGTCTTTTTCCAAATTCGCATTAATGTACAATTAAAAGCAACCTGAAATATAATAATACGCTACTTGTGAAAGGACAGATAAATGTGACACATGATCAGTTCAGAATCGGACCCCGTCCGACCACGTAAAAGGTGGCATTGTATCAGTTGTCATTCACGACCTCTATGCACGTCACTACGCCATAGTCAACTGGCCTATATACATTAAATTGATTATTAAAATGAATGCAAAACTCAGGTTCTAAAAGAGGCCTACTAGCCTGGAAACATATTTAATAGAGACATCGTGACAGTGTAATTTTTTTATTGTTTATTATCAATGACTTGACAAAATCTTTATGACCATGTTTCACAGTGTGTGGAATGGAGGTGTGTGTGGCGTCGGATTTTTTTTGGCAGTCAATAGCACCACCTGGTGGGCATAACCACATTTGCGCTAATGGGAAGACTTTTTAAATATAAATAAGGATTTTTTTTTATTATTTGATATTTGGTTGCTCATTCCAAACGTGGCCTACCTTTCAAACGACACCCATGATTTATTTGACAAAATGAAAATGTCTATACCAGTTACATGGAGAATTATATGCCTAAAAGATGAACGTGACTTTTATTTATGTATTATACTGTGAAAAGTCCACGTTGACGTATTAATTGTTCCAAACTGTCTCATATTTCCCGTGTAACTGAACCTTAATATAATACATCCATGAACTGAACGCACCACAACGTTGTTCTCATCCGTATACGTCACAGGCGTTGACGACGACGGACACCATACAGTGGCGCACTCTCTTTTAGAAGCTGGGCTGGCGAGACCGTGCTCACTGAACCGGGGATAGCGTTACCGCGGTTCCTGCACCCAACCACAGCAGAAAGCCTCGTAACTCTCCAGTGACTTGTGACTTCTAAACTCCTGCATTGTGTAATAACTAACACCGAAAACAAGGTAATTGACTATATCCATGTACGTGCACGGAGGCAAAAAGTCTAGGTCTTTTTGCCACTCCGCTGCAGGAAGCTCGTATGGGTCTACCTGTTGTATGTCTGAGAGCTTCTCCAAATAACATTGTTTTGCCGTGGGTAGAAGCTTTTCCCTGTACGGTCCATTTCCTTTTGCCTTCACTTTCTCCATTAACTGTCTTGCTAGTGTTGTAATCGTAGATGTATCTACTGCCGAACTAATAAACGTGCTCAATTTAAAGACCTCTGGAGCGTTAGCGTTAGTGGCGTTGCCCCTGGCAACCGATGGACATATATGTGCACATGTGTACATATATGTGCACATGTGTACATATATGTGCACATGTGTACATATATGTGCACATGTGTACATATATGTGCACATGTGTACATATATGTGCACATATGTGTACATATATGTGCACATGTGTACATATATGTGTACATATTTGTGCACATATATGCACACATATATGTACACATATATGCACACATATGTACACATATATGCACACATATGTACACATATATGCACACATATGTACACATATATGCACACATATGTACACATATGCACACATATGTACACATATATGTACATATGTGCATATATGTGTACATATGTGTGCATATATGTGTACAAATGTGTGCATATATGTGTACATATGTGTGCATATATGTGTACATATGTGTGCATATATGTGTACATATGTGTGCATATATGTGTACATATGTGTGCATATATGTGTACATATGTGTGCATATATGTGTACATATATGTTTAACTATATGTGTACATATATGTACATATATGTTTATGACATATAGGAAAACGGCCAATTTTATATATGTCACATATATTCAAAACATATCGAAACCTATATTAAAACATATAGGTTTATGTAGGTTCTTTCCATGTGGGTATGATCTATGCAAAGCACAGCATATTGAAGCATTGAGGACGTCGCGATGGATGAGGCAAAACTTATTGAAAGCAATTGTAAAAAGGGGAGAGAGAAAAGAACTCTTAACATATCCAGCGTTGTTGTGAGATCTGTCTCTCAAGTGCAGCTCTGTGTGTGCGGTGAGGAGAGAGCGCCTCGCAGGTAGACGGGACAGAGCGAGAGAAAAAAGTGCGAGGTGTATGTAAAGTTTAGCGTATTAACATTACGCGAAAAATAAATAGTAGATGTACGATCAGGAAACAATTATTTAAATTAATACATGAAAAAGAAAATCACACACGTTTGTTAATATCATTGTCATTAACAAATACTTATAACCAAGGATTACAGCATATATCAATACATGTTTAATAATGCGGTAAATATATTATGCCATTGTATTTTCAATGGAAAACGGACCCGACACGCGTCGACGGAACAAATAGGATTGTTTCTATTTCGTCCGTCCGCGTCCGTTGCACCCTCCGTTGACGGAATCTGTCCGACGCGCGTCGGACGGACGGATGTTGGAGGCAGTGGAGCCACTCCCATTCACCCTCATGGAGATAACGGAGACTGAGATGAAACGGACATGTTTGGACGGATCCGTCGTCCGGATGGAGTCGGGGCCTCAGACTCACAGCTGCGCAGCCGCACGTACTGTGGTCAGTCCGAGAGGTCGTTGATGGTCCATGCAGTGAGGCTACTGTCCACTCCTGCGACCTCCATCTTCCCCTGCAGCAGTACCGGCCTGATGGTGTTGAAAGCACTGGAGAAGTCAAAAAACATGACCCTCATAGCGCTCCCGGCGGGCTCCAGGTGGGAGAGCGTCTGCTGCAGGAAGTAGATGACGGCGTCCTCTACTCCGATGTTGGGTCTGTAGGCGAACTGCAGCGGGTCCAGGGTGGGGCTGACCACGGAGCGGAGATGGGTGAGGATGAGCCGCTTCATGGTCTTCATCAGGTGGGAGGTCAGTGCAACTGGTCTGTAGTGAGCCGGTTCCTTGGCGTGGGATGTTTTAGGAACCGGGATCACACAGGAGGTCTTCCACAGGACAGGGACCTTCTCCAGGCTGAGGCTCAGGTTGTAGATGTAGCTGAGGACCTCAGAGAGCTGGTCTGCACAGGTCCTCAGCAGCCTGGGACTGATCCCGTCCGGTCCTGCGGATTTCCTCTGCTTCAGTCGCTGGAGCTGACTCATCTGCAGAGGATCTGATTATGGATATAGGTTCAGTATATAAATGATTATGGATATAGGTTCAGTATATAAATGATTATGGATATAGGTTCAGTATATAAATGATTATGGATATAGGGTCAGTATAGTCCACTGGAGCGGTGCCACTGGGCTGGGACCGAGTGAAGACCGGTCAAACCGGTTGAAGTACTGGTTAAATTCACCGACCCGGTGCTGGTCTCCATCCACTGTCCCCATCATCCTGGCACCTCTGTCCAAATCCGAGAATGTTCTTTCTAGGCCTCTCCCACGACGCGGGCATTTCCCTGGGACCCACTCTTGCTCCAGCTCTGTTCCCATATCTTCTTGGCCCTCCCTCGAACCCCTCTGGAGCTACGTGCCAAGGATACTCTTCTGCTCCTCCCTGTCCCCTGAGATAAAACCCTTTTCTTGAGGTTCATGAGAGGCTTTAAGGCTCAGGTCACCATGGGTGGTATGTTAGAAAAACAAACGCACCTTCTATCGTTATGTACAGTGTTTTATCCACACAGAAAGAATATAGTCTGTAATGCATGTGCATTGCTCATCGATGTCCTCACCATGAGAGCTGCCCGATCATTCTCTCCCCAATCATGATTTGGAAAACAATCATCTCAGCATCTCATCCACATCAATCCTCCACACTTTTACAATCCACTTCACTAAATGTCAGGGTTACGAATCTTGTAAGAGCTAACCTGCAAGAGGCTCTGGACATTTTGAAACCATCCTGGCAAAGAAGCTCCCGTGTTACAGGGCTTCATCTGCCCATTAACTACCATTCACAAAACCCTAACCTTTATTTATTAAAATTTATGCACCACAAACTGTTATTTTCTTTTCATAACCTTCTGAAACCTTGAAGAACAAAATTCTCTATAGTTCAATTTTGAATAGGTCTCCCCTAACACGAGACATACTAACATCAGATTTCACCACTCCCAGTGACCTTTTGAGTTTATTTTACCTTTTAATTAAATTTTAAAATCCTGCACTTATAATTCACGCTTTTAGATAAAGTCAATATAGTACTTATCTATCACCAATAATGGTTCCCTAAACGCATCAACAAAAATGATAGAACCTTTTACTCTTAAACTCTGCTAGGTTTTCCCCCTTTCCGCCTGGACTTTTTCCAAGCATACACTTGCCTTTAACCACGACTTCAAATCTATATGCGCTGTGGCCAAATTTATTTACCTATTCTTTTTTTATTTGCAACCCAGGAATGAGTTGGTTGCACTTCAGACAACACCATTACTTGCACTTCAACAAAAACGACCAGCAGGTCATATGTCGGAAGTGTTCGGCCAACAGGTGGAATTAAAACTCATCTGTACGCGATTCCCCGGAGAAGGGGAGAGGAGGCTGTGTAAAGGCTCTAGTCTTGCGTCACCGAGTGCGTCTGGAATATATGGAAGCCAGTGTTTCCCACATGGTTTGAAGGCAATGTGTGGTGGTCGTCGTCGGCAGGGCGGGGCGGGCGGGGCGGGGGGGGGGGGCGCGTTATACACCTTTAACCCTGATTAAACCTTGTTGCAAAGTTTGCATGTTTTATCAGAGCACCTGCTCTTTTTCGGCCTGGCGAAAAAAATATTTTAATGGCCTATATCAAAGGAAGTCCTCAGGACAGGAGTCCATCGATGGAGATCCTCAAAGCAGAGCTGCTGGTGTTCTCCCTGCATTTGTTCCTGAGGTCTGTTTCACCTGGAGATAAAGCAAAATGATAAAATATTATCAATGCGCAAAAATGCACCAAAATAAAGACAATGGGATTATTTTGATTGCTATTTAACCACCGGATTTTCATTGCAGAGAAATCCCGTCACAGTTCACAGAGAAAAACAGAACATGGATAAACCAAAAGCAATGCTTGCCAGAGGCTCAGCAGGGTAGAGGTTGGCCCACTCATCAAACCACTTGCCCAGTAAACACAAGAGCTCCTCCTGGTTCTTGTTCTTGAAAGATAAGGGTTTGTCCGGGCCATTAGATGTGTGGTGTGTGTGGTCAAGTCAATTACTGACCATTGAATATAATATTGAATAAATCCAAGTCAACTCGTTCTCGTCCCTGACCCCTGTCTTTCTGCTTAGCCAGCACTGGTTTGCAGCCTGAAAATATTTGTAAACTTATATAGCTAATTACACTGCGGACTGTTTTCAACCGATACTCAGGTCAGGACTGATCTCATCCTCAACGCGTTCTTTTTTCAATCGCGGAAAACTATTGTTTCAATACTCATCAGGATTGAGGCAGCAAAACATTTCAGTGGTAAGAGTAAAAAAATGACATAACGTTACTTATTAACCTTTATTTCTTGCTACAGCTGCAACATAGTGTTTTGATGACCCCGACAACCCAACTACATACGCGAAAAACTGCGACAAATTAAACTTTATAAAAGAAAGCGTCATCGCTTGTTAAGGGAGTCGGGACGAAATTTCCAACATTGACAACTGAACATTCAGCACTTTTTAATGTTGATTTACAGATCACGGGGACCCAACCCTTTAGTGAACTTCACCCACCGTCTCCTCTGCACCAAAATTAATAGCACAGCTGCTTACCGCGATGATCGCTTGAAGGAGACGAGACCGCGGTGTCACGCAAGGGAGGGGCTGTGTTGAGCAGGTAGGTCTCTGTATGTGGAGAGACGAGTAGCTTGATGAGAGTTACGAAGGGCCCCGTCACATTTTTTAAAAACCCCCCTCCCCCTGTCCAAATGACCGCATGCGGCGGCACTAGAACGATGCATTTGTTTAAAATAGCGTAACAAAACACAAAAATATATATAATATACGAAACCAATTTGTGGCGGGCGGCGTCTCTAATCTGTGGCTGTGCGCCACCGATAAGTCTATGTAGTGGGGAAACACTGGAAGCTGCATCGTGCTCTTTACATTAAAGGTGTTTCACAAGTTCAATCGCTTTTTATAACCAAGAATGAAAGACCTTGCTCAAAAGGGCTTAAAACTATGGACAAGTCCTTGTGTATATTGAATCACCAGGGAAAAATCCTCAACCGCAAATAGCAATGTAGGAAATCTGTCCTCTACGTTGCCACGCAGGCAGGGGTCGGCAACCCAAGCTAGGTTCAAAGAGCCATATTAGACCAAAAAAAAAACTAAACATCTGTCTGGAGCCGCAAAAAAATAACAGCCTTGTATAAGGCTTATATAAAGGATACCACATGGCTGCAATGCTGTATACAGCTATCATAAGCCAAAATATCTAAATGACAAGTAAAGGTTACCCAATACACATAATAAGCATTCATGATTGATCAATGTTATTTTTTCACTGCAAGCGTGTCCTGGAGAGCAATGAATGCACCACGTGACGACTCCTGCTTTAACTTTAAGTCCATTTTTTTTGCCTTCATGCAACTTGAGGTACGAAATGCAGTAAATAAATCTCCTTTTTGGCTGAGATTACACATACATGTGGCTTGCGAAAGTATTTTCGGCCCTTGAAGCCTTACAACAGTTTCGCCACATTTCAGGCCTTCAAACTAAAGAGAATAAAATTAAATTTGTTGTCAAGAATCAACAACCAAGTGGACACAATCGTGAAGTAGAACAAAATTTATTGGATAATTTTAAACTTTTGGTAACACTTTAACATTACGGCCGGTAAGGTCCATGGTACTACAGTGGTACTTCTAGTACTACAGTGGTACTTCTAGGTACTTACGGTGGTACTTTTACGGTGGCGTAACTTACGAGTGTGTACTATACAGTGGTACTACGTGGTACTTACTTGGTACTTACAGTGGTACCTTACACAGTGGTACTTCTAGTACTAACGGTGGTACTTACGGAGGTACTTACGTGAGTACTTAACGGTGTCCTTATACCGGTGGTACTATACGGTTGGTCTATACTAGGTACTTCTACGGTGGTACTTACAGTGGAACTTACCTACGGTGGTCTACTTACAGTGGTACTATCACGTGGTACTTACCGGTGTGTTACTTTACGGTGGCGTACTTACGGTGGTCCCTTACAGAGGCTACTTACGTGGAACTACCGTGGTACTTCCATACGGTGGCGTAACTTACAGTGGTACTTACCAGAGGTAACATTTTACAGTGGTATTATCAGTGGTACTCTAGGTACTTCTAGGTACTTACAGTGATAGGTAACTTTCATATGGTACTTCTAGGTATTATTGTGGTACATACAGTGGTACTTCTAGTACATACAGTGGTACTATAGAGGTACTTATTGTGGTACATACAGTGTACCTTCCTAGTACTATATTGCGATTTATACTAGGATACAGCTGTAACATAGAAATTCAAGGATACTACAGCATATCATGTCCTATGTAGTAAATGTGGTACCTATATACTACAATACATTACCATACAGAAGGTCCACTTTTGAGTCAGGGATTGTTTGACTATAAAACATAAAACAACCTTATGTAAAAACAAACGTCTTTAATATTAAGGAATAAGTAAGCACAGAAGGACAGTATAAAAACATTTAATGCAATATTTCAAAACAAGCTTTCAAGGAAAAAGGGAAACACTGCCCAGAACTAGGTACCACAACCCAATAACAAGAAATTTACACATTACCAAGGTACTACCCAGCCAAGTACCAAGTACTTACCCATCCCCACCCGCAAGTACCAGGTATCTTACCCAGCAAGTACCAGGTACTTAACAGCAAGTACCAGGTACTAACAGCAAGTACCAGTACTTACCACATAGGGGACTGGCCCATAATAAGACAAAGGGACTTTAACATAAGGTCACCAAGATAACACCATAATTATACAGTAAGTACTCAGGTACTTTACCAAGGGACTGGCCCATAAATAAGACAAAGGACTTTAACATAAGTTACCAGCAAGTACCAGGTACTTACCAGCAAGTACCAGGTACTTACCAGCAAGTACCAGGTACTTACCAGCAAGTACCAGGTACTTAACAGCAAGTACCAGGTACTTACCAGCAAGTACCAGGTACTTACCATAGGGACTGGCCCATAATAAGACAAAGGACTTTAACATAAGTACCAGTGATAACACCAGTAATTATACAGTAAGTACCAGGTACTTACCATAGGGACTGGCCCATAATAAGACAAAGGACTCTAACATAAGTACCAGTGATAACACCAGTAATTATATAGTAAGTACCAGGTACTTACCATAGGAACTGGCCCATAATAAGACAAAGGACTTACCCATAAGTACTAGTGATACCAGTAATTATATAGTATACCATGTACTTACCAGCAAGTACCATGTACTTACCAGCAGCAGACTGGTAAGTACCTGGTACTTGCTGGTAAGTACCTGGTACTTGCTGGTAAGTACCTGGTACTTGGCTGGTAAGTACCTGGTACTTGGCTGGTAAGTACCTGGTACTTGCTGGTAAGTACCTGGTACTTGCTGGTAAGTACCTGGTACTTGCTGGTAAGTACCTGGTACTTGCTGGTAAGTACCTGGTACTTGCTGGTAAGTACCTGGTACTTGCTGGTAAGTACCTGGTACTTGGCTGGTAAGTACCTGGTAATGTGTAATTCTTGTTACTTGGGTTGGGTACCTAGTTCTTGCAGTGTTTCCCTTGTCCTTGAAACTTGTTTTGAAATATGCATTAAATGTATTTATACTGTCCTTTCTGTGCTACTTATTCCATATTAATAAAGACGTTTGTTTTACATAATGTTGTTTTATGTTTTATAGTCAAACAATCCTACAAATGACCTCTGTATGTATGTATGTAGAAGTACCACATTTACTACATAGGAATAATACTGTAGTGTCCTTGAATTACTAAGTTACAGCTGTATCTAGAATTATCACAATAAGTACCTAGAAGTACCACTGTAAGTACCACAATAAGTACCTCTAAGTACCACTGTAAGTACCTAGAAGTACCACTGTAAGTACCACAATAAGTACCTAGAAGTACCACTAGAAGTACCACTGTAAGTACCACTGTAAGTACCTAGAAGTACCACTGTAAGTACCTCTGTAAGTACCAATATGAGTACCTAGAAGTACCACTGTAAGTACCACTGTAAGTACCACTGTAAGTACCACTGTAAGTACCACCGTAAGTACCACCGTAAGTACCACCGTAAGTACCACCGTAAGTACCACCGTAAGTACCACCGTAAGTACCCCTGTAAGTACCACCGTAAGTACCACCGTAAGTACCACCGTAAGTACCACCGTAAGTACCCCCGTAAGTACCACCGTAAGTACCACCGTAAGTACCACCGTAAGTACCACCGTAAGTACCACCGTAAGTACCACCGTAAGTACCACCGTAAGTACCCCTGTAAGTACCACCGTAAGTACCACCGTAAGTACCACTGTAAGTACCACTGTAAGTACCACTGTAAGTACCACTGTAAGTACCACCGTAAGTACCACCGTAAGTACCACCGTAAGTACCACTGTAAGTACCTAGAAGTACCACTGTAAGTACCTAGAAGTACCACTGTAAGTACCATGGACTTACCGGCCCGTAATGTAAAGTGTTACCCTTAATTCTTAATCCTACCAAAAGTAAACTCAAAAATGTTGATAATATCAAGTTTTTTGAACAGAACTGCTACTCTGAATGGGCAGATATCTTGGGCATCATCAGCATAGCAGTGGTGAGCAGTATTGGGCTTGTTCATACTAAAGGGTACAAAACTGTGCCAGAAGGCCAAAAATTAGATTTTAATAATCAAAGGATTTATGAATGTTTTTCATTTAGCCAGATACCTTTTCTGTCCATTAGTAGTTGCTAGAAGATAACTGTTCTATACATTAGTCAAATTTAGTGGTATCGTATGTTTATCTGTGTCACAGACGTGATGCCTTTGACGGAATGAGCTATGGGGAAGTTTGTTACATGTTTAAAAAAAAATTTGAATAGGTGGCTGAGTGGATAGCACTCTTGCCTCTCAGTAAGAAGGTCCTGGGTTCGAATCCCGGTCGAACCAGGGCCTTTCTGAGTGGAGTTTGCATGTTCTCCCCGTGTCTGCGTAGGTTTCCTCCATCTACTCCGGTTTCCCCTACCACTAAAAATATGTACAATAGGTCTGGCATGCGCCTCGTGTTCGGCGACCCTGCTCCCATCTCTGTGTGGAGTGAGAGGACAAATGCCAAAAAAAACAATTATTAACAATTGTAAACCGCTTTGTGACAATGGTCCGTAAAAGGCGGTATATAAATAAAGATTACTTGCTTGCTTTTTTTTTTTCACAGAGTAGACAAAAAGTGATTACTTTCATAAAGTCAATTAATTAAATGTGATACCAGACAATCACCTTTTTCTTTTTTTAAGAAATTGACGGAAATAATCACATTTGTTAAACATTTTTCAAGGGTCATTTAAATTTGTATTGATTATTTTTCCAAAATGATTCCTTTTTAATCAAGTGATTTAGTTATGTTGTGTTTGTTATGTTAATCTTGTGGGAGTTCATCTGCCACTTTGTCCTTCCTCCCGGCTGCTGTCAGGCTGTACAATGAGAATGTGTAACAAGAACTGCTGAGTCTGTACAAGTGTCATTGATAATTCACAAGTAACCTTGTCACTAGTCACTTTACCTGTTATTAGTATTACTGCATTATTACATGTCCATCTGATACTTCTGCCATTCACTAGCCACTTTACCTGTTGAAATTATTTCTGATGTTTATTCTGCTCATATTCATATTCTCCGCTGCTAAAGTACTATATAGACACCTGTAAATACTTCTGAACCAATTGCAATTATAGCCCCAAAGATTATTTTATTTTATTCTTATTTTATTTATATATTCTATTATCTTAAATAATAGACTCTATTTGATGTGTGCAATCTTGAGTGCTCTTATTTCCTTCTTTCTCTGCTGTAATGTGCGCAACGATAACACTGAAATTTCTCTAGTGAGACGAATAAAGGTTATCTTATCTAATCACACTGATGACCTTTTATTTTCTAATCTATGATAGTAGTTTTAGTTTTTGAGTTATAACCTTTTAAAGTCAGATACTATAATGGACACTTCATTGTGAACACACCCTATGATGCTTCTCAAATATACAGTAGCTCCCAAGGGAAACGTGTTCAGACAAAAAAGGTTAAGGCCAAGAATTCTGCCTTGGGGCACACCACACTTTAAATTGGATACTTCAGAGGAGAACTGTCCCAGTTTGACGTGAGATAGGGAGCGCAGTTCCTGTGATTCCCACTTATTGCTCTAGAATACGCATGTACCACTGTATAAGGCTGATGTTTAATCTAGGAAAACTTGAGCAGAAGGGGGGTCAGAGTCTGTGTACAGATACCTAAGAACTTTGAGAGCGGTCTCAGTACTATGCTTGGCTTTGAGACTTGACTGAAACTTCTCTGTGTGAATCAAGATTGGGCTGTAATTGAATGAGAACAACTCTTAGAAGGAGAACATATGCAATTTTGAGATTGGCTTAACATTTTCAGTAAGAAGGTCCTGGGTTCGAGTCCCGGTCGGACCAGGGCATTTCTGAGTGGAGTTTGCATGTTCTGCCCCGTGTCTGCGTAGATTACCTACTTACTTACTAGGTTGCACCTTGGCGTGCTTAAGTGCAATAGGATGCATCCTGAGTTTGAAGATGCATTAATCATGTAAACGACCAAAGTCCCCAGTGTGGGGATGGAATCAAGGAGACAAGACGGACAAAGCTTTTCTACCTTTTCCGCCACAAACCCTAAAGACACATTTTCAAAGCATTCAGATACATTTTGACAGCCGATATAGTTGTCTATAAAACTGTGTTTACACACTGCCTAATGGAGGCAATTATAATACAATCATTGTACTATTTGGAAGAGTCTACCACAGGAAATGCATAGACTAATCAAAGAGGATAATGTATTAAAAAGACCCTGTGTCTTGTGGCTATTGGTAGTTACAACGTTACACAATGCTGATATGACTGAAGATTGTCTTTCAGCATGTCCAGGGACACAATCAGCCGGTCCTTATGCCAGTATTTCTTTGCTTGTCTGCAGATGCGCCTCAGAGCGCGTGTTGGATCATTAAGCCAGGGTTCAGCCCTAGGCTTTACCCATTTGACTCTGGGCGGGTCTCTAAGTCAGAGAAAGCCAAAGAAAATGAGACTGCAGTTTACGAGTTGCATGTGCGCACTTTGCGTGTAGGGGAACACGATTTAACGTTTCATTTAGAAAGCGTCAGGGTGAAGAGCACAGGGTTGTGATCTGATATACCCGTGTCACAGATGTCAATAGTCTCCAGATTCAGACCAAAAGACAGAACTTGATCAAGCGTATGTCCTCTTTTATGTGTTGACCCAGGGACCAATTGTATCCTTTCCAAAAGTACTTGATATCTATTTGGTTTATGCCTGATATATCAAGCCACAACTCAAATCTCATCTTAAGAGACATTATTTTGACCCACAGGTGCACCCCAACTAGCCACAGTTTGAGAAACACAGCACTAAACACCAGCCGACAGAAGCATGTTACGTCTTCTGTAATCATGTCTTGTATTTCAGAAAGCATCCTCCACACTGCAGTCTCCCCTTACAGATCTAATTTCCTCTCATGTTCTCTCTCTGGTCTCTCTCTGGTCTCTCTCTGGTCTATCTCTGGTCTATCTCTGGTCTATCTCTGGTCTATCTCTGGTCTCTCTGCTGTAAACATTCTACAGTCTCCGCTTTGAGCCGTGGATTGGTGCTGACCAGAGCGATTGACTGGAGGGAACTCCATCCTTCTTTTCCGCCTGAGGAACCTGATCCGTTTCTCACAACACATCAATTCTACGCTCGCTGTTCACTAAAATCTATAGGCAGGCAGTGACCGGGAGGAAAGTGAGAGAGGAGCAATGTTCAGGCCTCAAACCTGTCACAGCAGATATTGTACCTTTCAAAACCATTATGACACTGTTTACATTGTCATATCTGCTCTCTCTCTGGTCTCTCTCGTGCACATATCGTAGGAGATCTTTGGTTTATTGTTGTTCTTATTGAACAAAGAAAAAGCAGAGTTTGCACTCGGAGAAGCACATGCTGCTTTGATCTGCTGCGGTGTGTGTCTGTGTGGCTCTGTCTGTGTTTAGGGGATCTCACCCTCTTCCCTTCGTCCCTCAGGTCAGGCATGGTGCTGATGCAGAGGCTGACCACGGTCACCAGAACCATGACCACCGACACACAGGCGAAGATCTTCCCCAGGATCCCAGAGTGAGGATTCTCCACGATCTCCCTCACCTTCCACACGAGCCTGCCACAGTTGCCACATCACAACATCAGAACCATGAAAGACTAGAGAGACCCCAGAGAGAGACAAGAAAGAGACAAGAAAGAGACTGGAGAGACCATATAGAGACAGGGTTCTTTCTCAAATAAAACATGTTTTCTACTCACATGAGGAGAGCATGTTGTGGTTATACGGAGCCCTGGAGGGGGCATAGTAGAGGAAAAAAAATTGATTGAAGTTTAAAAAGAATAACATTGTAGCTGTCAGTGCTAATACTTCCGGCTAATGCTATGTGAATGAATTAAGTTTATTTCGGTCAATTGTACCTTTTACACATTGTCTACATGAATACAAACTGGTGTAACAATGTAACTGATCTCCAAGCACTGTTCTTCTGCTCTGGAATATCTTTTCATTCATTGCAAGCCGTTCTACCTCCCATGTGAGTTCGTCTCTTTCATTCTTGCTTCTGTTTACATAGTGCCACCCGCGGACGTGCGCAAGGCTTAGCATGCACTCGCAGAGCAAGTACTGTGTCTGGAGCGTTTATACTATATATATATTTTTTTAGAGCTAACACAGACAGTTTGGATGACTGCACGGACACAGTGACGTTATACATCCACTTCTGCGAGGATAACATTATTCCAACAAGGACCAGGGTCATCTATAACAATGACAAACCCTGCTAAACTCAGGCAGCTCAGACAAGCAAAGGAGTCCGCTTTCAGAAAGGGGGACTGCAGCGGCTACAAAGCAGCTAAATATCAATTCAGGAACGAACTGAAAGCAGCAAAGTCCCGGCACAGAGAACGACTACAGAAGCAGTTTGGAAACAACGATTCTGCTTCTGTCTGGAGAGGCCTACGGGGGATCACAAACTACAAGGCCCAAAGCCCCCCCTGTGCTGACGACCAGTCACTTTGACGCTGCCCCGGACACCTCCCCCACCCCCCACTGCTCTATCGATCCACCCATCAGCTCTGCTCCCACCCTGACAATAGCTCCAGAAGACATCAAACGACTCTTCTTGGGGCTGCACCCCGGTAAGGCCCCCCCGGTCCAGACCAGGGGTTCCCAAAGTTTTTAGCCCGCGACCCCCATCATAAATGCCCTGCTAACCCGCGACCCCCCCCCCCCCCAACAGCCCTTCCGTCACATGAAATGAGCATGTATTTCCTTGATACGGAGTAACGCTTTCTAGAGACTCACGCCACTACCGAGCTGCACTGTCCAGCCCAAAAAAGGAGGCTTGCATATTTTTACTCATGTAGTGACACAGTGATGGGCTTGGTGGGCTCCCTCCTCAGCAGAAGTGGAGCGCATTATATAAATAAATAAAGCTTGCTTGCGGCTCGCCCTCACTGTTCTCCTACCGCGGTAAAGTGGGCCGGCTTTCCGGAGTCAGCGGTAAAGAGGTCCGCACATTAAAAGCGGGCGGCCTCTTTCTGCTGTTACTTTATGCAGTTCATCCCCGCGGCTTCTCTTTCCAAAGTTACTGTAAGTAAAGGCATAAACCGGCCACCCGCTTTTAATGTGCGGACCTCTTTACCTTTGACTCCGAAAAGCCGGGCCTCTTTAACGCGCTGTTCTACCGCTGTCCTCCCTCCCTCCCTCTCTTCGCACCATCAGCCTGACCCCTGATACAAGTGACTTTTCTCCCCCTCCGGGTTTTTCTGTTGTGGATATTAACCACGTTTCATTTTAAAGCAGGTATTATTTATTTGTAGCCTCCAAACACCTTTAGTTTTAGCAAACAACAGCTGGACGCGCTTTGTCGCTGCGCATGATGTGAGCTGTGTTACGTGATAATTTTGATTGACGCTGCAATGACTGGGACAAAATTACTAACGTTATTAAAATATATTATAGTCTCCAAACACAATTTAACAAGTAGTCCTTTTGAATCAAATCAAATGCTAAATAAATATTTAACCCTCCATGCCCATGGGTCATTTTGGGGAACTTTCCTCGCCTGGTTTTCTTTGTGTATAATGGTTCATAAAACAGTCATCTTTTGATGCAGAGTCAAGCAGTATACTTTGTTTTTTTCAGTACAGCCTGGGGTTGTAGAATATTCATATTGTAAAGCTGTCATATGAATTATATAAAAATGATGGAATCATAAAGACAAAGAAAAAAATCAAACGGAAAATCAATTTAACAAAAATGTATTGAAAAAACACAATGAAATGCTATAAACAACTTTTTACACTGCATAGAAATGTTATTTATGGTCTTGGGGATAATGGGGGAAAAAATTGAATCTCTAACTATTATACTTTTTACAAAATTCCACTATAAAAGCAAAAAACTCTGTACTCCTGATGCCCTTCTTGAAGCAGTTTGTCTATAATGCTGGGGTTGCTTCTGTAGTACAGCTGTAAAAACGTAAAACATAAAAAACTGAGCCAAAAAAAAAAAAAAACATCAATTATTTATTTAATACATATATTTATATACATCATATACACATAATGTCATTTTACTGTATTTATTATCGTCTTTATCAATAATGCGCACTCTTCAGCCGGTTTTTGCAATCGCAGCTGTAGTTTCAACTGTGGGAGAACAAGGAAACGCAGAGGAGTGAGAGATCTCACTCTCTGACGATCTTTGGCAGTCCCCGTGTGTTTGTATCTCACAGCTGTTTGTACCTCACGGGTCATGCTTTCAGACAAACTTAGTTTATCCTCCGTGCATCGCACAGACAAATCAAAACTAGTTTCGGAAAGCCCTGATTACGTACTTCACAGAGGGAAAAAAAGTAAGTTGCTACGTTTTACCGTTTGCGAGTAAATTGATCATTTGTAAAACATGTGCATCGGTGCCGATGCACGCGGGCATATAGGGTTAAGGACTTTATATTTGCTCAAAAAAAAATATCTTTTTTGTTTGTTTGTGTGGAAATCATCTTGCGACCCCCCCAGGGGTTCCCGCGACCCCCCGGGGGGTCGGGACCCCCACTTTGGGAACCATTGGTCCAGACCATGTCTCACCTGCCACTCTGAGACACTGCGCCAGTGAGCTAACTCCTGTCTTTACTGACATTTTCACTTGCCATGTCCTGGCCTACTTCAAATCTTCCATCATTGTCCCTGTCCCGAAGAAGCCCAGGATCACAGGACTCAATAACAACAGACCTGTGGCACTGACATCTGTAGTCATTGGGTCATTTGTGGAGTCATTTCGTTTCCTGGGCACCACCATCACCCAGGACCTTAAGTGGGAGCCGACCATCAGCTCCATCATCAAGAAGGTCCAGCAGAGGATGTACACTTCCTGCAGCAGCTCAGGAAAGCTGCCCGCACAGATGTTGGTGCAGTTGGTGCCATCATCGAGTCCATCCTCACTTTCACCATCACCGTGTGGTTCGCTGGAGCCACAGTCGGGGACAAGCGGAGACTACAGCGCATCGTGCGCTCTGCAGAGAAGGTGATCGGCTGCAGCCTCCCATTGCTGCAAGACCTGTACGTTGCCCGAGCTCAAGTCCAGGCTGGTCGTATCACAGCCGACCCCTCTCCCCCTGCACATGGACTATTTCAACCACTCCCCTCAGGCAGGAGACTACGGTCCATCAGAACTAGAACCTCCCGCCACAAGAACAGTTTCTTCCCCTCTGCTGTTGAGACTCTTGAACACTTCATAACCTGTCCCCCCACCCTTTAGAAGTCCCCTCACTGCCCCTTATGTCACTTTAATTTACTGCCCATCATACATCACTTCACTTTACTGCTGTCACCTTATATTGTGTGCACCATGTGCACTTGTATATTGTATATAGTAATTGTAATAATTCTATTTTAAATGTATTCCTAAGAAGTGCTTTTTTATTTTATTTTTAATTACAGTATACCTTCTCTACTCTCTTTCTGACTGTTGAACTGAGCCAAAGCAATTTCAAAGTCTGTGACTTCCTGTTACCTACGCGGCAATACAAATGATTCTGATTCTGAGGACAGTAAATTACAGCAGAAAGAAAGACCGAAAAGGAGTAGGCTGAAGCTAATTCTTATTTTGTCTACCCTAAATGAAAACGACAGTAGCTCAGTTGGTAGAGCACTGGCCTTTGGGCCTGAAGGTCGTGGGTTCAAGCCCAAGCTAAGTGTACTGGGTGCAGCTCTGACTGCCACTCCCCCGACCCAGAAATGGATTAAGGGGAAGAAAATGGATGGATGGATGGATAAATGAAAACAGACAGACATCCTCTCTACTTCCGCCTCCGTCGAGCACAGACGTGTCCTCAGACCGCTCCTGCTTCTGACTGCTTGCTCTCTCTTGTTTTTGTCTTTTTCCTGGAGTTTTGCCACAGACAACTCTAACAAGAATAATGGATATCATTAACTGGTCCCTCAACGCAATTAACACAATTCTTTCAACACGTAAGGGAGGACCGGGGGAGCCTTCGTGCCCAGACGGGACTGCACCTGCGGGGTATACTCTTGACAGCTGGAACAAGTGGGAGCCCCTTTGTTTGTCGGTCCTGTCTATTGAAGATTCGGAAGACGTATATTATTATTTTATTATTTATTTCATTCATTCAAAAGTGACATCATGCAATCACCACAAGACCGCCAATCCAACATAGCATGAATGAAACGGAGCAGAGGAGAAGAACAAGTCTTATAATATATCCATTTATATCTTTGGAATTCTGGTGGTGGGGATCATCCTTTTCGGGTTTGGAGCGGTCCTTTTCTACCGTAAATTTGGAACGATGGCGGCTCATAAAATTCACGACCTGCTGTCCAACAAAATTGATGGGATGTACAAGGAGTTGACTCGAGTTGTGGTTGAGAGTGCCGTGTCTGGACAGAGGAGAGCTGTGCTAGTGGAACAGTTGATGAAAGACCTCGCAACACGTTCACTCGAAGGGCATAAGATACTAGAAATGAGGCTGAATGACATTGTCTGCCAATCATGAACTCTCTGACCCGGCATGGATTTGCCCCTGTGTACGGAGGTTCTGAGGGCGCCGCAATTCGGTTTACAGTAATTGGATTTAATAGTATATCTGCCTTGCT